TCATAAAATAGAATCCTGAAAATTCGTACACTTGTACTTCGTGGCGGATTGGAAGAGTCAAGAGCGCGGTTTATGTTAACGATGAACCCGTGCAGACATTAACAACCAAAGGTTCGCCTTAGCATCGTATTCCCAGTGACAGCTTTTACAAGATCATATATATATATATATATATATATATATATATATATATACCCCAATTGCGGGCAATCATGATACCAACACGGCATGGATAAAATAAAGAGAGAATTCGGATAGAAAATAGAATGGTATGAAAAAATCAATCACAGAGAATAACAAGAATAAGAACGAAAATTAACTTACGTCCCAGAATTCAAACATGTTCTCCTCGGCGATCCCGAATTTTTTCACCTCTTTCGCATTTGTTGATAAAGCAACAAAGTGTTTCGCCACATGAGAAGGCTGGAATAGTAAAGGGAAAACTAATAAGCAAAGTCCGATACATGAATAAATTTAACATGGAAACGGGTGATGAGATTAAATTTGGCCATTATTTTTGAGAAAACATAGACTCACATCTTTTGCGTGCTCCAGGAACCACGCTTTAGCAGACTCGGAATTAGTCATAGTTTCGATCGTGGTGAAGGTCTAGTGAGAAAACAGATCACAGTCGGCAATTACATCGCAAACAGCATCTTTTGGATTGCGTCGTTATTACATAATAATTAACGGGAGAAATAAACCCTTGAGTCACACAGGCTAAGGAACTTAGGTGGGATGCAACATCCCGCAGTGTCTCCAGCTAAATCTGAATCTTTGGGATCCCAACCAGGGAACCGGGAAGCCCCGATGGAAGTCAAATCCAAGCACAATCTCTTCAACAATTATCCTACGTCATAGTCAGCCCAATTCGCTATTTCTTTCAGTCCGGACCAATGTCTACAAATAGCGCATGGTATGGTATGTTCAGGCATTCATAAGGCATACCCCAGCCACCTAAGACTATCGGACCCTAACACACGGTGCTCTCACCATACGCGGACGATATTGTGCAGACAACGGTTGCCGAGAACGAATAGAAATTGAAAATGATCTGCCCGGCCGAATTTCGCAGCCATAGAGCAAGACAGCGCAATACACACGCCCTTTTAGTGAAAGGGTTATGTCGCGCCGGCGCCAGAGATGTCGTAGATTAGCGAACGCTAATCTAGCTTCGATCACGCGTTGCGAGATCCCAAACACACCTACATTAGCCGTTATGTAACTCCTGAGGTAGACAAAGCTTTTAACTAATTTCAGAGTATGGTCACTCAAGGAAAGAGTAGAAACGGGTTCCTGCCAATCTTGCAACAACACTTTGGATTTTGAAGCTGCAAAAGACATGCAATAACGAATAACTTAATTACCAAACGATTCAGTGAGCCTTGAAGTGTCGATGCGCTGCCGTCGAGTAAGAATAGAATATTCTCCAAAGCAAAGTCAAAGAGAAACTTGTCTTTTATTCATGTCGTTTACTGCCCCAGGTTTCAGGGTTGGGTTGTCGGCTTTTCTTCGTCATCCATCAAGAGTGCAAACCAAATAACTAATCGGCCTTATTCTACGCACAAATCAGATCGCGCACCTACTGCCTTTCGTAAAAATAAAATAGCTAACAATTGTATGAGCAGTATGAACATGGACAAAAAACTGGAAGTCGTCAATGAACGGATGAATTGGGTACATCTGCAGTGAAAATAGGTGGTCGTATTAACAACAATATGATTAACCACTTTCAGGCGATAAGCACTAGCGGAAATGTTTGTGATAACCGACAAAGAGCACTGGACAGCTGCTTTGTCGGCTATTACAGACATTTCTACCGCATTTAAACGCATTCAAATAGTGGGGAATTAAAGATCTCCCAAGGAGTGAAACCCATAACCAAGATCATCAACAGTGCCAGGTGCCTGTGAAAAACCGAATGGGCTAATCCAAACACCAAAAAGGTATCTCACCTTTGAAGCAATGATAAATAACGTTGTCTCCGGATTTAGTTTTTTCAAAGTTTCGGCGATGTGAGTGCCATCAATGTTGGACACAAAATGAACTTTGATGTGAGAAGCATACGGACGTAAGCATTCAGTTGCCATGACGGGTCCCTTGAAAAAGAACAGTTAAAACGTAATCACTGACTCTATAATAGTTATTTTATTACAAAGTTTGTGGTGATGAACAGCAGACGGAGTAAACCCGTCACTAAGACCAGTGACATGTTCACAATTTATCGCCTAGTTCGCAACAGGATCAATATGACATTTTGGTGATCTCTGCAGTAATAGAATGCAGCCAGTGTATGCACATGGGGCCAGTTTACGGAGAGCTTACCGGCCTACGTCATTGTACGCACAGTCATGGGAGCCGCACTTAAATTTTCAACCAGTAAGAACCAATAATTCGAAACAGTAAATCGAAAACTGGATTCATAGTCAGCGACAAAACCTAGTGAATTCACCAAATTTGCACAATGAATGTTCAGACCTTTCATTTTGAGACACGGTCAATGTTATTGGATACTAACTAGGTATTTAAAAGTTGATAGATAACTGAGATGGGAATAGGTGGTAATAAGAACAAAATACCACAAGTCTCATTATACACGAGTGGTAAGAGCATAACCGCACCTAAATGAACAATTCGAGCGGAATTCATGCAACGGCAGTCAAACTAAGTAATTCTTTATTTTAGTTCTCTGCCCAGGACGTTGACGACAACCTGTCAGGTCGTCCGGTTTCTTGCTCCCAGAATCCACCCGTGCTGCGACATTAGGGTTAAAGGGCTCATTTTCAATGAGATAAACGTAGTGAGACGACTAAGAGAGGATCCACAGCCACAGGGTCCCACCCCGATGATGTTTGTGCAGGGTCAGTGTTTTTCACTGGCCCTGCGATGGGAGTCGCTTCCGAAAACCGCAGCATGGTTGGAGTGGGCGTTTGGGATTGTGACTGGTCACTATTCCTT